TTTTGCACCACTCAAAATGATTTTCCAAGCAATCTACATGTTCTGCTTCAATTTAGAATTCCAGCAAGATGAACCATATCTTGAGTCCAAGGTCTTATGCATTAATGAATCAACATCATTAATGAACTTCCATGCAAGCTTCACCATTAAAGATCCCACCTTGTTAACACATGAATGAAGTCCATGACCCCCCAATCAAATAAGTTTACATAATGATTCCCAATACACATATTGAAGTCCATTTTTCCCATCATTTTTATGCCAAATAAATTCCCTCCAAACTTTATCAATTTCAGCCAAAATACCAATAGGCATAAGAGAATGAATGCAATGAAATACCAAGATTGAAAGAATAACTGATTTGATAAGAATAAATTTCCCTGATAAAGAGATAAATTTATTCTCCCAAGTATTATGCCTTCCAATAACTTTATCCAACATGAACTTGAAATCCGCTGCCACAATTTTTCTCAAAGCAATCTTCACACCCAAGTAGTTAAATTCTTTCACAGTTTTAAACCCCATTACCTGAGCAATTCTTTTCTCACTCCTTCTCACCGCTTTTCCAAAATGAATAACAAATTTTTGAAAATTAATTTTCTGTCCTGTCCAACTACAATAATCCAATAGAATACCCCTAATTTTCTTCACCACTTTCACATTAGCTTCAGAAAAAAATTCAAAATATCATATACATAAAGCAAATGAGACATCATTGAAGCATTTGGGTGAATTTTTATTCATATCTTATTCTCTCCTTGTATTAAACCATTTGATAAAAGTTGGGAGCATAAAACAAAAAGAAAAGGAGATAAGGGGAAACCTTGACGAAATCCACTTTGAGCAGAGATCCAATTAGAAGAATTATCATTGACTAAGATAATAAATCTTGGATTTTCTACACACTCCATAATAAGCTTGGAAAAGTTAGAAGGACAGCCAAAATATTTCAAAAGCTATTTCAGAGTTCTCCAATCCATACTTTCATAAGCTTGTTCCATATCAATTTTAAATGAAACAAATCCTTTCGAAGATTTTAAATACCTAAATTTATGAAAGATTTCTTGAGCAATCAAGACATGTTCTAATAAGGAATGGCCCTTTTTGAAAGCTGATTGATTAACAAAAATGAGTTTTGGAAGAATATATACAAATATATTAAGGAGAATTTTAGCCACAGGTTTATAAATAGTTTTACATAAACTTCTAGGCCTAAAATTTGAAGTATTCATTGGCTTATCCACCTTTGGAATAAGCACGATCAAAGTATCTTTCCAATTAGCATCCATTTTCCCAGTAGAAAAGAATTGCTTAATAGCATTCCAAATATATGTTTTAAAAATGGACCAATAAGCTTTGATAAAAGAGTGAGTAATCACATCTACTCCCGATGAAATCCCTTCACCAGGTTGATTAACAGCTCCCATAACTTCCTCCATATATAGTTCGGTCTCCAAAATTTTCCTGTCATTTTCATTCAGCACACACCTAGGAGAAGGCCAACCATTCAATGAAAAATCTCTATCTTTCCATTTGTTTTTAAAGAAATCGAAGAAGATACAATTTTTTTTTTTTATTTATAATCCCTCTACAAAGTTGATTAAATTTTATTTGCTTGTGTACAACATAACAATGATATCAAGTCAAGTTTTAATGAACCAGTCCAAACTAGAAGTCAAACAAAAATATATATATA